CTGGGGTCACTCACTCAGCTGGGTCATCTGGTAGCTCATTTAGGGCTTGATGGCCTCCTCTATTCCCCTTCTCATCACCTCTCTGGTGGAATTGCCTGGTTTTCTTTTATGGCAGTGGAAGCATTCCAAGAGAGCAAGCCCCATGCACAAATGTTTATGAAGCCTTGGCTTGTGTCATATTTGTTGATGTCCCACTGGCAAACAAGTCACATCACCTAGCCCAAAGTCAATGTGGGAGAGGGCTATGCAATTCTATCATTGAGCAGTGAAGCAGCCTACAGCCACTCTGGGAGGCATTCATGTCGCCAGGTGTGGAGGCAACCCTGGAGCTGGTGAAGGAGGTAGCTTTTTGGTAAGCCTGGAAGTAGTTGTAACACTACTTGCTCAATATGGGACCCCTTTAGGACATACCAAAGGTCTTGTGCTCGGAGCAATCACATAGAGTAGCAAGTTGGGAACTTTTCTATATACAATCCCCAAGCCTTTAGCTAAATGTTGATGCATATTATGGTGTGTCCATGCTCAGACCAAAGTAATAAATCTCACCAGTAAGGTCCATTGATGGTAGTTCTACATAGACCCTAGGAAAATCATGATCCAGGAAACACAGCAATTTGAACAATGGGCCAAGTGGTGCTGATTAGCCTGGAGCAAGGTAATGATTTAAAAAAAAAAAAAAAAAAGGTTGGAACAAGGAATGATTCACACTACAAGTGCACCACCACCAATCCCAAGGACTCCCAGAAGCAGCTGAAAAAGACTTGGATGGAGAGGGAAGTCAAAGTTCTTAGGCCAAGTAGATAAGGACTTAGTGCATCACGTAAGTTTGGATCATTGTCAAAGTAAAAAAGGGAAACTGTTGTAGACTAAAAGAGACTAAAGCTGTTTTTCTCAAATTTTGATGAATTTTAGAAATGCCTGAGGAAGATTTTTAAAACCCAATGGTCAGACCACACCCAAAACAGTTAAATTACGATCTCTAGGGATGGAGCCCATATTTCTTAAGGCTACCTGACCGACTGATTCTAAAATGTGGCCAAGGTGAGAATTTCTGAACTGAAGAAAACCTAACAATCAAGTGTAATGCATGAACTTTTATTGGATTTTTTAAAAATACCATAAAATACATTTGTTGAACAATTGTCAGAATAGATAATACATTACATGTAATATTTTAGATTTGTTAATTTTTTTTTCTTTTTTTGAGACAGAGTCTCTCTCTGTTGTCCAGGTTGGAGTGCAATGGCACGATTTCAGCTCACTGCAACCTCCACCTCCCAGGTTCAAGCAATTCTCCTGCCTCAGTCTCCCGAGTAGAGGGAACTACAGGCACACAGCACCATGCCTGGCTAATTTTTGTATTTTTAGTAGAGACGGGGTTTCACTATATTGGCAAGGCTAGTCTCAAACTCCTGACCTCAAGTGATCCACCTGCCTCGGCCTCCCAAAGTGCTGGGATTACAGGTGTGAGCCACCATGCCCAGCCTAGATTTATTAATTTTTAAAGAAGTGATAATGTGGGCTGAGTGTGGTGGCTCACACCTGTCATCCTAACACTGGAAGGCCGAGGTGGGAGGCTCACTTGAGCCCAGGAGTTGGAGACCACCATGGGCAACATAAGGAGACCCCACCTCTACAAAAAATTTTAAAAATCAGCTACGCATGGTGGTACACACCTGTAGTCCCAGCTACTGTGGAGGCTGAGGTGGGAGGATTGCTTGAGCTCAGGAGGTCGAAGCTCGAGTGAGCTGTGATTGTCCCACTGCACTCCAGCCTGGGTGACAGAGTAAGACCCTGACAAGAAAGAGAGAGAGAGAGAGAGGGAGGGAGGGAGGGAGGGAGGGAGGAAGGAAGGAAGGAAGGAAGGAAGGAAGGAAGGAAGGAAGGAAGGAAGGAAGGAAGGAAGGAAGGAGAAAGGAAAGGAAAGGGAAAAAAAGAAATAATGATAATCATGTGTTATTCTTAGGAGCTGTAAACTGAAGTATTTAGGTGGAGGGATGTTAATGTCTGCAACTTATCTTCAAATTGTTCTGCAAACGATTATACGTGTATATATGCATGTGTATAGAGAAACAGATCACATAAATGTGTCAAAATAGTAGTAACTGGTGGAGCTAGGTACAAAGTTTACTATGGGCCAGGTGCGGCGGCTCATGCCTGTAATCGTAGGACTCTGAGAGGCCAAGGTGGGCAGATCACCTAAGGTCAGGAGTTCGAGACCAGACTGGCCTACATGGTGAAACCCCATCTTTACTAAAAATTAAAAAATTAGCCCGGCGTGGTGGCACATACTTGTAGTTCCACCTATCTGGGAGGCCAAGGCAGGAGAATCACTTCAACCCAAGAGGCGGAGGTTGCAGTGAGCTGAGATGGTGCCATTGCACTCCAGCCTGGGTGACACAGTGAGACCCTGTCTCAAAAAAGAAAAAAATTCAATATACCACTCTTTTACCTTTTCTGTATATATGAAAACTTTCCAAATAAAAAGTTTGGGAAAAGTTATTTGGGGAATTAACATATGAACACCTGTACTCATAAGCAGATGAAATCCCTCTTGGAGTCCCATCCGAGATTTTTTTTTTTTCCGAAACAAAGTGTCACTCTGTGGCCCAGGCTGGATTGCAGTGGGATGATCTCAGCTCACTGCAACCTCTGTCTCCTGGGTTCAAGTGATTATCCTGCCTCAACCTCCCAAGTAACTGGGATTACAGGCGTGTACCACCACACCTGGCTAATTTTTTTGTATTTTTAGTAGAGTATTTTAGTAGAAATTTAGTTTCACCATGTTGGCCAGGTGGGTCTTGAATTCCTGACCTCAAGTGATCCACCTGCCTCGGCCTCCCAAAGTGCTGGGATTATAGGCATGAGCCACTGCACATTCCCCATCTGAGATTATTAAAACTCATGTAATCACGTATATCTGCACCAATGCAAGACTGAAGTGAGGCCAGTGAGAAACGTAGCCCTGGCCCTCATACGCACCATAGATTAGAACAAGTTGGTAAGTAGAATGGGGTCCATACCAATGAAGAGGAGTGGTCACCCCTGGTTTGGGTCGACCCGTGAACTGTTATTGGCCTGAAGTTAATGAGACTCTGCAGCAGTTATCAGCCTTAACTGCACAATGAAATCATCCGAAGGAGCTTTAAAAAATATTCTTTCCTGGGCCCCACCTCTAGAGATTCTGATTTGTTTCAGGTGTTGTCAGGGTATGCCCTATATTGGAGTGTTTTAACTCATCCCAGGTGATTCTAATTACTGTGCAGCCAAAGTTGAGAACCATTGCTCTTCATACTGCCTTATACAACCTGGACAACTATAAAGGGATTGGTAAAGTTCTCAGGGAGAACAGGTATGTGGTTTTACCAGAGTTGGAAGAGACTTTTTTATTATCACTTGAGACTCAGAGAGATTCTAGCAATAGGAGGAGCCAGAAAGTTCTTTTATTTTTTTAATTTTAAAATTTAAAAATAGGGACAGAGTCTCACTATGTTGCCCAGGCTGGTCTTGAATTCCTGGGCTCAAGCAATCCTCCTGCCTCAGCCTCCCAAAGTGCTAGGATTACAGGTGTGAGCCACCATGCCTGGCCTAGAAAGTTCTCATACCATGGAGACTAGGCCTTTTTTCTCAAGGGCAAGGGACAATATGTTTAAAATACTTGGGCATAGGAGCAACCCAACAGCCCCAAACCTGGAGCTCTCAAAGGGATGGGATGAATTACCGCTGTCGGTTCTAAGTATTAGAGACAGCTGCTCAGGCTTTTGAAGAAATGGCAAGGAACAGAAAACTGAAAATATCCTCAAGGAGTCAGATTCTAACCCAAAAGAAAAGCTTCTGGACATTGATTGAAATATACATGACACTGCAGGAGGGGAAGGTATCATAAGGGGAAAAATTCAGTGGTTTGTGAAAGGTCTGGATGGAGACAGTGGTTATCCCATTAGGGGGCAAAGCCAGGTTCTTATAGGTACACATGGTCTCTCTTGAATAGAGGTCACTTCCAGATCTGTCACCACAGAAGAGGTGTCCCAAAGGAAAAATAAACAAAGTGAGAGAGAATTGGGTAGGCAGTACTCATTCTAGCTTGCCTGGGACTTCCAAGTTGGTTTTATTTATTTATTTATTTATTTATTTATTTATTGAGACAGGGTCTCCCTGTGTCACCTAGGCTGGAGTGCAGTGGAGAGACCTTGGCTCACTGCAACGTTTGCCTCCCAGGTTCAAGCGATTCTCATGCCTCAGCCTCCGAGTAGCTGGGACTACAGGCATGTGCCACCATGACTGGCTAACTTTTTTTTTTTAGTAGAGATAGTGATATGGTTTGGCTGTGTCCCCACCCAGATCTCATCTTGAATTCCCACATGTTGTGGGAGGGACCTTGTGGGAGGTAACTGAATCATGGAGGCAGGTCTTTCCTGTGTTGTTCTCGTGATAGTGAGTAAGTCTCATGAGAGCTGATGGTTTTAAAAAGGGGAGTTTCCCTGCACTTGCTCTCTCTTGTCTGTTGCCATGTGAGATATACATTTCCACCATGATTGTGAGGCTTCTCCAGCCATGTGGAACTGTAAGTCCATTAAAACTCTTTCTTCTGTAAATTGCCCAGTCTCAGGTATGTCTTTATCAGCAGTGTGAAAACAGACTAATACAGATTAGGGTTTCACAATGTTGGCCAGGCTGGTCTTGAACCCCTGACCTCAAGTTCTCCACCCACCTCAGCCTCCCAAAGTGCTGGGATTATAGGCTATGAGCCGCTGCACCCGATGAGACTTCCAAGTTTTTATACTGGAAGTCCTGTATCCCAAGAAACCCTTTGGTCCCAAGAAAGAAACCCTATGTCCCAAGAAAGTTCCAGACAACCCACAATAGCTGATCAAGCTACTACACAGGGAAGGGGGTCATCTATCTCAGACCTGGACTTGGAGAAGAATGAACGTCGACATGTATCCTCCTTTAGAGGATGAGTCCTGTATTAGGCTGAGAAGCAGAACCAAAACTGAGACTCTCATGCAAGTGGTTTATTGATGGAGTGCTCTTAGGAGAAGGGGAGTGAGGGAAGCAGCGTAGAACAGGAAAAAAAAAAAAAAATTAAGTAAGAATGTGCTCTCAGAAGAAGACTGACTTCAGCCTGATTCCATGAGGAGCTCTGGGAAAGGAAGTTCCTCGATGTAAGAGGTCAGTCTTTTGTACCTCCATACAAGAGGTAGCAATTCTTTTCTAGAGATGGTCTCAAAATTAGAATACATCAAAATCACTTGGAGGGTTTGGTAAATCAGAATGCTGTGCCAACCCCTGGAAATTCTGATTCGGTAGGTCTGGGGTGGGGTCTGAGAATTTGTATTTCCAGCAAGTTCACAGGTAATGCTGATGATGCACTTTGAAAACCTCCACTCTAGAGAAGAGGACAGCTCTGAGGTTTTAGCACCCACAGCATCTCACAAAGGGGATCAGCAAAGCACCTGCTACATGAGGGCACATGCCAGAGACAGATGGATTGGACCACAAGCTGGGGCTAGGTAGACTACATCTTTAGGTCAGAACATCTAGATTCACAGTATCTTGTATGTTCCTGTTGTCATCCCACATCTCTTGCCAACGCATTATTGAAACATTCTTAAAGATACATGAGGCTTTGAAGAGGAAGCAGCTGCAAGTTGCTAGGCAAATATAGTGGTGTCAGTTGCAATAGAGGGGAAAGTCCTTAAATGGGAGATCAATATTTAGGGGCAAGGCTCTAGACCAACCCTGGAAATTGCCTGATATTTGTGAAATTAAAGGGAAATGGCATTGATGGCAACTTTTAATTTCATAAGCCATGCCAGAACTCGTAACGGTCTCTGCTCCTGAGGATCACCACCAGGTGAAGGTGAATGAATAAATGTTAAAATGGAATTCGTTTCTTTTGGTGGGGTACGTCAGGTAGAACTTGGAGAATACCTTGTACCCCTGGGCCTTAATGTCCATCTCCAGGCAGTGCATGAGGTCACTGTTGTCTAGGACTGCCTTCCAGGGCCCAAACTTGACAACGGACTTGAACATCTTCTTATCCTGCAGAAAACACAGGACCTCTGAATAATATGCATCCTGCTCCTCCGTTTCCACCAGGCACACAAGCACGCTGGACTTCCGCGCTGTTATGGCCTCTGCACGCGCCAGGCGCACCATGAGCTCCAGGTTCTCGCCATAGCCCGGCACTTGCAGGAGAAACTGCTTCCGAGACACCTGCTCACCAAAGATCTGCGGCATGTCCTCCAGCAGCTTGACTAAAGGCTTGATTTCATAGAACTGAGCCTCACGGTACACTTCAGGGATGTGCTGTGTGGGCACTTGCCCAGTGCGCAGGTAGTCCAGGATGGGTCTGAAATAGGTGCTGGGGCGGTCGATGAAGAAGCGGCCCTCTGCATCCATGGAGGCCTTGGCTGAGCTAGAGAACATCTCTGCCAACTTTGAGCCCGGAAATTTCCTCAGGGTACCCAGGGTGGTCGTGTGGAACTCACCCCCCACGTTCAGCTCCACAACCGTAGACATCTGGAGGCACAAGAGGCAGAGTAAACCAACACGCCATCTCCCCTGAGCTCATGACTTATTTTTATCCAAAGAATAACTGGATTAAAAACTTAGGGGAGCCATAATGTTTGGCTTCGGCTAGTGAAAGGCCCATCTTACTAAAGAGGGTTGTATTGATGCTGTGTTGCTCCAGGGGGTGGCTTTTTTTTTTTTTTTTCTTTTTTTTTTTTTTTGAGACAGAGTCTCGCTCTGTCGCCCAGGCTGGAGTGCAGAGGCACAATCTCGGCTCACTGCAACTTCCACCTCGATTAAAGCAACTCTTCTGCCTCAGCCTCCCTAGTAGCTGGGACTACAGGCGCCCGCCATCATGCCTGACTAAGTTTTGTATTTTTAGTAAAGACGAGGTTTTGCCATGTTTGCTAGGCCGTTCTCAAACTCCTGACCTCACACGATCCGCCTGCCTCAGCCTCCCACAGTGCCCGGCCAAGGGTGGGCATTTTAAGGAGGAAGAAAGGTTTCTGTTTGAAAAAAGAATACCCATTCAAGCATCTTAATTTTAGGTCATAGAATGTTATGGGAGGAGGCCAGGCACGGTAGCACACGCCTGTAATCCCAGCACTTTGGGAGGCTGAGGCAGGCAGATCATCTGAGGTCAGGAGTTCGAGACAAGCCTGGCCGACTTGGTGAAACCCTGTCTTTACTAAAAATACAAAAATTAGCCAGGTGTGGTGGCACGTGCCTGTAATCCCAGCTGCTCGGGAGGCTGAGACATGAGAATCACCTGAACCTGGGAGGGGGAGGCTGCAGTGAGCCAAGATCACCCCACTGCCCTCCAGCCTGGGTGACAGAGTAAGACTCTGTCAATACATATTGTAATATTGTAAGACTCTGGACTCTGTCTTACAAAAGCAGAAGAATGTTATGGGAAGAGGCTGCCATGGAAGGAAGTCTCAGCAATGATACTTCCAAAGTCTGTGGCCTTCGGCAAGCCTTTTTCCCTCTTAAGGCCTCAGTCTCCTCATCTATAAAATGGGGATATTGGCTGGGCATGGTGGCTCATGCCTGTAATCCCAACACTTTGGGAGGCCATGGCAGGACGATCACTTGTGGCCAGGAGTTGGAAACCAGCCTGGGCAACATAGCAAGACTCCATCTCTATTTTTTTTAAATAGGTTTAAGGGAAAAAAATTTTTTTAAAGGCCAGGCATGATGCCTCACGCCTATAATCCCGGTACTTTGGGAGACCAAGGTGAGTGGATCACTTGAGACCAGGAGTTCAAAACCAGCCTGGCTAACATGGTGAAACCCCATCTCTACTAAAAATACAGTAATTAGCCGGGCATGGTAGCACACGCCTACAGTCCCAACTGCTCGGGAGGCTGAGGCAGGAGAATCACTTGAACCCAGGAGGCAGAGGTTACAATGAGCTGAGATCGTGCCACTGCACTCCAGCCTGGGCGACAGAATGAGAGTCCAACTCCAAAAAAAAAATAGGAAGTAAAATGGGGACATGGAGTTGTTACGAAGTCAAGAGTTCCCAACCTGGGATGCTCAGCTCTGATCTAAGATATAATAAAAGCCAGGGGTAAGGGAGGAGGGACACTTCCAACATTTCAGAAAGACAAAAGAAACCATACATGTGTTCATTTGGGAAGCATTTCTTGGGTATTTACTATGTATCCACATCCTGTGCTGGGAGTTGGGGACAAAAATTCTTATTTCACGTAGATCAGAAGTTCTGGTTAACAGTTGGCATGACCTTGATTGATTTAAAAATGGGATTTTTTCTTTTTTTCTTTCTTTTTTTTTGTTTGAAACAGAGTCTCACTCTGTCGCCCAGTCTAGAGTACAGTGATGTGATCTTGGCTCACTACAACCTCAGCCTCCCAGGCTCAAGCAATTCTCGTGCCTCAGCCTGGGAGCTGGGATGGCCACCCTGTAGCTGGGATTACAGATGTACAGTGCACGACCAAGCCAGGCTAATTTTTGTATTTTTAGTAGAGACTGGGTTTCACCATGTAGGCCAGGCTGGTCTCAAACTCCTGACCCCAATCTGCCCACCTCGGCCTCCCAAAGTGTTGGGTTACAGGCGTTAGCCATAGTGCCTGGCCAGAAAATTGAATTTTTTTTAACAGATGGGATCTTGCTCTGTTGTTGCCGAGGCTGCAGGTGCAGTGGCATGATCATAACTTACTGCAGCCTTGAACTTGGGCTCAGGTCATCCTCCTGCCTCAGCCTCCCAAGTAAATGGGACTACAGGACATTCAACACTGTATCTGGCTACTTAAAAAAAAATTTTTTTTAGAGATGGGTCTTACTGTGTTGCCCAGGCTGGTCTTGAACTCCTGGCTTCAAGGCTTCCTCCTGCCTGAGCCTCCCAAGCTTGTGGGATTACAGGTGCAAGCCACCACGCCCAGCATAAATAGAATTTGTTTGATGAATGTTTTTCCAAATACGGTCCCATGGGACTCCAATAATAACAGGAATATTCTTGGTAATGAAAAGGCCAGTAACTCTACATATTGTGGGTGTAAAACTGCGTCATGAACTGTGAAGTGCAGTGCAAATGCAAGTTAAGTTTAGTTGTTCAACAGAACTTTTAGAGGCCACCTCTCTGTGCCAGACCCTGGGCTGAGCACTACGACTGGTTATTAAGTGATGATGTCAGAATTTGAACTCAGGTCCGTTTTACTCCAAGCTTGAGCTCTTAGTGATTACATAAATGAATTACCTTCAGTCTTCCAATACCTTCACTCTTCATTCCCTTAGTGACTCATTCATTCAACAAAATGTATGCCTAGTGGGAAGGTTGGTGGGAAGAGGGATATGGAAACAGACAGTCTAGTAACTCTGTGTAGTGCTTTAAATGGATTATCTAATTCAGCCCTCACAACACTTCCATGAAGAAAATATTAAATCTCCATTTTACAGAAGAAGAAACTAAGGCTTAAAGAGATGAAGAAAGTTGCCTGAGACTGGCTATTAAGTGATGATGTCAAAATTTGAATTCAGGTCCATTTTACTTCAAGCTGGAGCTCTTAGTCATTACATAAATTACCTTCAGTCTTCCAATACCTTCACTCTTCATTCCTTTAGTGACTCATTCATTCAACAAAATGTATGTTGGGCCTATTACATGCAAACCTTGTGCCAAACAGAACAGGACACAGTCCCTGCTTTCAAGGAACTCACAGGGGAGAGGGAAACAGATGGCTTAAGCACGTAGGTGCTGAGAGGGAAGACTCAAAGGTAGGAGGGGTCAGGTCTTTTTGTGGATGTGTATCGGGGGCTGTCAGAGAAGGTTTCCTAAGGGATGTGACAACTGCTGCCGCGGAATAGATGCGTGGTGTTAGAGGGAAGGCTGGATTTCCAACCTGAAGATTTTACCACAAGAGTGGAGATGGGGACAGGGCTCAGGAATGTCACTCAGTCTGATTTAGGTGTGTCCTCATTCTCAACTGGTCTGTGGGCTCTCCTTCTAAGATTAAAGTACTGGAGTTAAGAGAGCCAAAGGCAGGCCGGGCGCGGTGGCTCAAGCCTGTAATCCCAGCACTTTGGGAGGCCGAGACCGGCGGATCACGATGTCAGGAGATCGAGACCATCCTGGCTAACACGGTGAAACCCCGTCTCTACTAAAAAATACAAAAAAACTATAGCCGGGCAAGGTGGCGGGCGCCTGTAGTCCCAGCTACTAGGGAAGCTGAGGCAGGAGAATGGCGTAAACTCGGGAGGTGGAGCTTGCAGTGAGCCGAGATCCGGCCACTGCACTCCAGCCTGAGCGACAAAGCGAGGCTGTCTCAAAAAAAAAAAAAAAAAAAAGAGAGAGACAAAGGCAACTGAACTGCTGGAGAAATCTGATTGCCATGACAACATCTCCTACCAGGGGACAGTTCTGCTTACTGGAAGGGAGAAGGCAGAGGAGAGGATGCATCTTGACAGCAGCCAAACAATAGAGCTGAGAAAAATAAGCCCAGAACCTCTGACTCTTTCTCCCAAAAACCTCAAGGCCCCTTGGCAGGACTGTTTGGTTAACCCTGAGGTCACCTCTGTAAAGCACCCAGTTAAATGCCAACTTGCAGACTTTACCCCTTGAATGGACCAATATGTTCTCATTACTCCTACACTGCTGAAAGCTCCCAGGCCCTCCTAATATCCCCATATTACAGGCAAGGAAAGTTCAGAGAGAAGTCACACAGCTAGGATGTGATGAAGTTGGAGCTGAGATGAAACCTGTATCAGCATGACTCCAACACAATATGGGTGCCTCACTCCCATCCTTCCCAACATCCTGCCCCACTACTGCCAATACTTAGATATGTGCCCAGGGCCCTTTGCTTTCCTTCTCTGGGCCTAAGCTTAGTTATCTGTGAAACAGGAAGGTAAAATGGACCAAGAGAACTCTAAGCTCCCCCAGCTCTGAAAGTCTAACAGATCCAATCACATCCGATGTCCTTTCTGAAGCTAATTTCCAGATGCTTCAAAAAATAGGCTGGGTGCAGTGGCTCACGCCTATAATCCCAACACTTTGGGAGGCCCAGGTGGGAGGATCACTTGAGGCCAGGAGTTCAAGAGCAGCATGGCCAACATGGCAAAACCCCATCTCTACTAAAAATACAAAAAATTAGCTGGGCCCTGGTGGCGCACACCTGTAATCCCAGCTACTTGGGAGGCTGAGGCAGGATAATTGCTTGAGCCCGGAAGACAGAGGTTGCAGTGAGCCAAGACTGCGCCACTGCACTCCAGCCTGGGTGACAGAGGGAGACCCTGTCTCAAAGAAAAAAAGTTTCCTGTGCGGACATCTTCAGCTCCATTTCTTTATCAAACAAGACCTCAGCCCTGTTCCTAAGCTTCTTTTTGTTTTTTGTTTTTGTTTGTTTTTTGTTTTGAGACAAGGTCTCACTCTTGCCCAGGCTGGAGTGCAGTGGTACAATCTCGGCTCACTGCAACCTCCACCTCCGAGGCTGAAGCGATTCTCCTGTATCAGCCTCCAGAGTGGCTGGGACTACAAGCGTGTGCCACTATGTCCAGCTAATTTCTGTATTTTTTATAGAGACAGGGTTTCACCATGTTGGCCAGGCTGGTCTCAAACTCCGGAGCTAGGTGATCCACCCGCTCTGCCTCCCAAAGTGCTGGGACTACAGGCATGAGCTACCACGCCTGGCTGAGAGTACCTTTTCTGAAGTACAAATCTGATCCTATCACTCCCTGCATTAAACACTTGAGCAAATTTTCATTCCCTTCCAGATAAACTCCAGACTCCATAACAAGGTTTAGAGGCCCTTTGCAACTGGGCTGCTACTTCACCCCTCGCAATCAGCTACCAGAACCGCCGGTTGCTCCCCACCCCTCCAATCCGGAGCAAGCCAGGCCCCCTCACCTCCAGAAGCTCACTCACTTGCCATCCACACTCCTTTCTCTGACCCTACTCATCCTTCAGATGAATTCCTCTGGGAGTCCTTCGGGGTGGGTTGTCTCATTGTGGTCCCAGAAAGTCCTACACTACTATACTTCCACTGGCCTGGCAGTTCTTCCCTTATAATTCCCTGTTTGTTCATTGATTGCAAGGTTCCTGGCCAAGTGCTGTGTTTCACGCATGTAATCCCAGCACTTTGGGAGACTGAGGTAGGAGGATTGCCTGAGCCTAAGAGTTTGAGTCCAGTCTGGGGTTTCAACCAGGAGTTCAAGACCAGCCTGGGTCTCACCAACATGGCAAGACCCCGTCTCTATTTTAACAAAAACAAACAAACAAACAAACAAGAAGGCTGTGAGGCTCCTAAGGGAGGGGAATATCCTCTGATTTACAGGAGCATCTAGTGTTCTGTTCAAGGCCAATCTTGCCCTACCTGGCATCATGCACAGTGCGTTACACTTCCCCAGTAATTCATGCAGGCATTTATTGAGCACCTAGGGTGATCCTGGCACTAGGCATGTGACTTTGTCAATAGCCAACAGCAATGACGTGACCATGGCCCTATTAGAGAGAGCCACGCTGACCTGCTGCTGGATCTGCTTTCCCTTCCTCCAGGTCTTCAGGATGATTCTCAGTGCAGGAGAGAACCCGAGTGTTCTGCTTCTAGAGTGCAGCCAGCCTTTTCCCCATCCTCCTCCCCAACTCCCCTCACCCAAGCCCGGGGACCAGGCAGGCAAGCAAGCAGAGGGATTCGGGTCCCAGCCAGAGGGCAGGGGCAGGGGCAGGTTGGAGAGGGCTGCGGGTGAGGGAAAGATCCTCTGGCCAAGCTGGTTGGATGGGCTTCTCCCACGGGGAGCAGGGGAGAAGGAGGAGCAGAGGAGAAGCCCTGGACTAGGACAAGCCCGGGGGAAGAGAGAAGGGAGTGGAACTAAAGACCGAATGCAGAGGGAGGAAGCAAAAGGGCAAAAAGGAGAGGCTGGACAGAGCCAAACCAGAAAGGGACACCGAGGCGCGAAAGGAGAGCCATCGGAGCAGGAGGGATAGCAAAGACAGAAGATAGCGACCAGCCCGAGGTGCAGGGAGACAGTGCGCCAGAAGTAGGGGGCTCGGCCGGCTGCGACGGACGGGCGGGAGAAACTGGAAGGGAGGGCAGAGGCGCGGGGACTCAGCTAGCCTCGCACTTACCGTCAGCCGCCCGGGCCGGGGGGACTGGGGCAGAGGGGTCTGGCTCGTCATCCTGCCCGCTGGCCGCTCCACTGCGCAGCCCTGCCACATGCAGATCACTTGGGCCAGCGGAAGTGCCCCTGGCTGCCCGCCCCTAGGTGGGGACTCCGAGGCTCAAGGCGGGACGGGGCTGGGCCAGGCGTGGCTTTTAGTGAGACCTGGCCAAGTGCAGAAGGAAATGAACAGTCTGTCTATTTAGGGCTTTTAAAAGTTGTTAGACCCTGAGGAGGGCTGACTTTGGAGACTGAGAAATGGAGCAGACCCTTTAAGTACTGACCTTTTGATATAGATTAATTTCCTTCCTTTTCTTTCTTTTTTTTTTTTTTTTTTTCCCCAGAGACAGGGTCTCACTCTGTCGCCCAGGCTGAAGTGCAGTGGCAGATCAGGCTCACTGCAGCCTCAACCTCCCGGGCTCAAGTGATCCTCCTACCTCAGCCTCCCAAAGTGGTGGGATTACAGGCCTGAGCCACAGCACCTTGCCTCTTCCTATATTTTCTTTTGCGGCTTAGATCAGATGGCACCTGAGATGAAAGACCCCATGACTGAGATAAAAGACCGTTTGAATATTACATCTTAATGTGGAATGTTAAATGTACCATTCTCAAACAGAAACACTGCCTAGAATCAATTAAATTGCTGTAACTATACACTTAACTAATATGGAAAATATTAAAATTCTGTTAAGCTTCCCCAGACCTTGCTTCTTCTTCTTCTTATTATTATTGCTTATTATTCCCCAGACCTTGCTTATATAAATGAATGACCCTCAAACCACTCTACTCAAGAGCACTGAACCCAGCTTATTGGAGCCTGTGTCCCCCGCTTGGCCATTCTCAAACTTTACGCTTAAATAAATTATTTAAACGTATTGCCTGAATCCCGTTATTAAAGTTGACACTGGCCGGGCGCGGTGGCTCAAGCCTGTAATCCCAGCACTTTGGGAGGCCGAGACGGGTGGATCACGAGGTCAGGAGATCGAGACCATCCTGGCTAACACAGTGAAACCCCGTCTCTACTAAAAAATACAAAAAACTAGCCGGGCGAGGTGGCGGGCGCCTGTAGTCCCAGCTACTCGGGAGGCTGAGGCAGGAGAATGGCGTAGACCCGGGAGGCGGAGCTTGCAGTGAGCTGAGATCCAGCCACTGCACTCCAGCCTGGGCGACAGAGCGAGACTCCGTCTCCAAAAAAAATAAAATAAAATAAAAAATAAAGTTGACACTAGTTAATGCCCCTCTCTGGGCCTCAGAGTTCCCAGGAGTGAAATGGGGGAGGCAGAGGGAGTTGACATTGACTGACATCGACAGCTAGAGACTTTCTATTCCCTACAGTCCTAGGGAGTGAAATATCGTCAACACCATTTTACAGATCAGAAAACCAGCACCCTAGGAGGTAGGGTGGTGTTAAAATGTAAAATCTGAGGCTCAACAAAACTTTTTTAAGAGTGTACTTGGATAACAGGCAATTCTTGAATTGGGAAACACCAGATGGAAAAAGGTTGAATGTTCCCATGACAATGCATCAGAGGCAAATATTTATGGGGAGAATGTGGAAACAAGATATTTTACTGGGGACAGGCACGGTGGCTCACGCCTGTAATTCTAGCACTTTGGGAGGCCAAGGCAGACAGATCATTTGAGGTCAGAAGTTCGAGACCAGCCTGACCAAAACGGTGAAACCTCGTCTCTACTAAAAATACAAAAATTAGCTGGGTGTGGTGGTGCGTGCCTGTAATCCCAGATACTTGGGACTCTGAACCAGGAGAATTGCTGGAACATGGGAGGCAGAGCTTGCAGTGATCAAAGATTGCACCACTGAACTCCAGCCTGGTCAACAAAGTAAGATTCCCTCTCAGGGGGAAAAAAAAAAAAAAAAATATATATATATATATATATATATATATATATATATATATATTTATATATATATATATTTATATATATATATATTTATATATATATATATATACACACACACACACACACACACACATATATATTTCATTGGTTACAGTTACGAAATCACCTTTTTTGGTTTCCTTTGTTGAAAAGTCCCTAGTTACTTAATTATATGTTAGTTGGTTGCTTGTGATTGGCTAATGTTAAGTTTTGTTTCTGTCTAACATTAGGATTTACCAGAAATGACTGTATTAGTCAGGGTTCTTTAGAGGGACAGAACTAATGGAATGGGGCTGGGCACGGTGGCCCACACCTGTAATCTCAGCACTTTGGGAGGCCAAGGCAGGTGGATCACCTGAGGTTAGGAGTTCAAGACTAGCCTGACCAACATGGTGAAACCCCATGTCTACAAAATGCAAAAAATTAGCTGGGCGTGGTGGTGGGCACCTTTAATCCCAGCTACTTGGGAGGCTAAGGCAGAAGAATCACTTGAACCTAGGTGGTGGAGGTTGCAGTAAGCCCAGATCAAGCCATTGCACTCCAGCCTGGGCAACAAGAATGTAATCCCATCTCAAAAAAAACAAAAAAACAAAAAAACTAATGGTATATATATATACACATACACACACACATACATATATGTGTGTATACATATATTCCATTACTTTTTAAACTCTGCTTTATATATATATACATATATGTGTATATATACACACACACACACACACATATATGTGTATATATATATAAAGGGGAGTTTATTAAGTATTAACTCACACGAACCCAAGGTCCCACAACAGGCCATTGGCAGGCTAAGAAGCAAGGAGAGCCAGTCCGAATTCCAAAAGTGAAGAACTTGGAGTCTGATGTTCGAGGGAAGGAAGCATCCAGCAAGGGAAAAAGATGTAGGCTGGGAGGCTAGGCCAGTCTCTCTTTTCACATTTTTCTGCCTGTTTATATTCTAGCCACACTGGCAGCTGATTAGATTGTGCCCACCCAGATTAAAGGTGGGTCGGCCTTTCCCAGCCCTCTGACTCAAATGTTAATCTCCTTTGGGAACACCCTCACAGACACACCCAGGATCAATACTTTGTGTCCTTCAATCCAATCAAGTTGACACTCAGTATTAACCATCACAATGACCCAAGTTAAGTTTTGCTTATGTTTGCAAATCAAGCAAGTCTGAGTTCCTTTATAAGGCCTAACTAGCATTGTCTGGCCAGGGATTCTTCAGGCCTGATCTCCATTTTAATTTACTTTAACAGTGGCCAGTGTAGACTATTTAGCCAGCCCAAGGCAGCTGCTTGGAGTACAAAGCATGCCCAATGGTGAAAAGAGTTAGGTATCTGTTTTGTGGGGTTGTTTTCCTAGAGTTAAAATATAACTCTAAAGGAGAGGGAGCATAATTTCCCACTCCTTAAGTGTGGGTTATGCATTGTGACTTCTTCCAACGAGTACAATATGGGAAGGAGGAAAAAGAGAAGAAACTTTACATTGGGGAAACTGATCAATACTACTCTAGCCAGGTGACCAAAGTCAGTGCCAACAGTTATTGATCATGACGACAGTGCGTGCTTGCTGTAAACCAAAAAGTATCTGAGACAAGTCTCAACCAATTTAGAAGTTTATTTTGCCAAGGTTAAGAACATGCCCACAATACAACCTCAGGATGTCCTCAGGTCATGTACCCAAGGTGGTCAGGCTACAACTTGGTTTTATGTATTCAAGCAGACATAAGACATTAGGGCCGTGCATGGTGGCTCATGCCTGTAATCTCACCACTTTGGGAGGCCAAGGCAGGTGGATCATTTGAAGTCAGGAATTTGAGACCAGCCTGGCCAACATGGTGAAACCCCATCTCTACTAAAAATGTAAAAATTAGCCAGGCATGGTGGTGTGTGCCTGTAACCCCAGCTACTCAGGAGGCTGAGGCAGGAAAATCACTTGAATCTGGGAGGCAGATGTTGCAGTGAGCTGAGATCGCACCATTGCACTCCAGCCTGGGAGACAGAGTAAGACTCCATCCCAAAATAAAAAAATAAAAAAGAGAGAAAAAAGAAAAGACATCAATTGGCTAGGCATCAATGGCTCAGTCTGTAATCCCAAGGGAGAGGATCCGGGAGGCCAAGATGGGAGGATCACTTGACCCCAGGAGTTCAAGTCCGGCCTGGGCAACATGGTGACACCCTATGTCTACAAAAAGTACAAAACTTAGTCAGGCACGGTGGCATGTGCCTGTAGTCTCAGCTACTTGGGAGGCTGAGGTAAGAGGATCTCTTGAGCCTGGGAGGTATCTCTGTTGGACTAGAGATTATAAATAAATAAATAAGGCCAGGTGTAGTGGCTCACACCTGTAATCCCAGCACTTTGAGAGGCCAACGTGGGCAGATCATTTGAGGTCAGGAGTTCGGCACTAACCTGGCGAACATGGTCAAACCCCAACTCTACTAATAGGACAAAAAATTAGCTGGCGTGGTGGTATGTGCCTGTAGTCCCAGCTACTCAGGAGGCTGAGGCAGGAGAATTGCTTGATCCTGGGAGGTGGAGGTTGCAGTGAGCTGAGATTATACCACTGCACTCTAGCCTGGGCAACAGAGCGAGATTCTGTCTCAAAAAAAAAAAAAAAAAAAAGATAATTAATTAACATGTAATAAAAATGAAGATACCAATTAATACATGTATGATATGCATTGGTTAGGTCCAAAAAGACTGGACAGCTGGAAGGGGATGTGGGGCTTCCAGGTCATGAGAAGATTCAATGATTTTCTGATTGGTGGGCAGGTGTGGAAACTCATGCATATAATCACAGCACTTTGGGAAGCTAAGGTAGACATATAGCTTGAGCCCAGGAGTTGGGGACCAACCTGGGCAGCATAGCAAGACCTGGTATCTTTTTGGATTTTTTTTGAGGCGGAATCTGGCTCCGTCACCAGGCTGAAGTACTGTGGTGCAATCTTGGCTCACTGCAATCTCCGCCTCCCAGGTTCAAGCAATTCTCCTGCCTCAGCCTCCCAAG